TGTCTAGTGATTTCGAGACCATCTAAAATCTGAGTAACATGTTTAAGGGAAACTAACAGAAGGATGGGAAGTGGAAGGCCATGGAACTTGATATGCTTTCATGTATCTTGAGATGCAAGACACTCTGGGTCAGTACTGAAAAGACCACTTTGTATGGAGACACCTTTCCATCTCTAGAGATTGTGTGAACCTGTGCATTATGTCAACTGAGTACTTAGATGTTACAGCTATACGCAATTTATAAATAATTAGCTTGTAAATTACTTTGAAAATAAAAAAGGCCAGCTAGTATTCAGAATTACAATATATTAAAAACCTTTGGTATATGTTATTATTTAATAATTGGCTTTTTAAAAGTCATAGTACTTTACAGCTGAAGAACTTCTGATCTTGAATCACTGGCATGAGTTTATTTAGAATGAAATGCTATTGGAGTGAAAATCAGATGCACATTACAGTTATGTATGAGTATGATTCATATTCATCTCCTCCCTGGCCCTTTTTGGACCAACTCAGCTTTCCCTCAGGTCCCTAGTCAGACTATGCAGATTCCTTTCACATATACAAGACTCTTGATTAACATGCCTGCCCGGTTTTCAGTTCCTTCCCTTCACCTAACTGCCTTCTGCAGGTGTTTTACATGAACCTGTGTTTATGGCCACCCTAAAGAGACTCAAGACTGCATGCTGTATGATCAGTCTAAATCCTTTTAGGTGCAATGAAGTCATGTGATGCAGTGAGTGGTAGCCTTTGGATGTGTTTCTCACTGTACTTTATCTACTATCATCAGTCTGTACCTTGTTGTCCACTAATTAAACTCTGTTTTCATCTCCTGTCAGGCCTTGGCTCAGAGGAATTAAACTCCACGTAAGTAATTCCATTTACTATCCCCACAGGCAAAGTTTTGGGAGAGGCAAAGAAGTTTTTAAACCTTTTCCACATCCTTTTCGAGTTTCCGTATATCTTCAAAGGCTAATGCCCTCAAACAAGTACTGACTTTCCAGAATTTATATCACCAAAAGAGAATATCCTCCATCCTTCTCCTATGACATCCCTGCTCCTGCCTAAATTCACCTCTTGCAGCGTCTTCACGATTCTTTTATTGGAAAACCAAACTAAGCCATTCCTCTGTATGTGTGTTAATGTTTACTTTTCTTAGGCAGTAAACTAATGCTGCTACAGGCCGGTGACCTCCATGTTAACTCCAGGTGACATTTTTCTATTCCCCATTTGAAAGTCTTGGCTTCTACACTCTACTTTTGCATTTTTTCTACCATTGCATTGACCCAAACTTTAAATACTGAAGTTGCTTAGGGCTTGGTTCTGGGCCCACTTTGTCACCCTCTATTTTGTTAATCAATTTGTCACCTTTATGGCAACGACTCACAAAATTTGTCTCCAGCTTAGATCTATTCCGCGATCTCCAACTCACATAGCCACTGCTTACAATGTTCAAAACGAAACTTTTGACTCCTATCTTTTCCACCTCCCAATCTATTTTCCATTTTTAGCTTTCCAATTTCAGTAATTGGCCCTAAAGCTAGGGAGTAGTCATCTTTCTCATTCTTCATCTTCCATCCAATTCCTGAGGTGTACCAATTCTTTGACAATTCTAAAATATACCTCACACCTACCTTCTCTTCTCCATCATTAGCTTCCAACCTTCCAGGTAGGTCACTTCAACTCTTTACAGTGTCTCTCTCTGCCTCTACTCCAGCCTCCCTATAATTCATCTCCTCCCTACACGGTAATCAAAGTAACGAAGATGTCATTCCCACTGCACTTAAAATCCAAAATCCCTACTACCACACCTCTTCCTCCCATGAGCTCGAGGACAGACCCTTCCCCTTGTATACTGTGCTACAAACATGCAAATCTTCTTCCAATATCTTCAGTTCCTCACACCACGAGTTTTCTGCTTCAGGATCTTTGCACATGCTATACCCCCAGAATGCATTTTCTCGCCTCTTTGCACAGCCAGCTCTCTCCCTGTAATCTCCAGGACACCTTTCCTAACTCCCATGCCTAAAGTAGATTCCTGTCTCATGTTTTCTATCTTGACCCTACATTTGTTGCTTTTTACAAGTTTTTAGTTTTATATATTTTTTGAGACAGATTCTCACTCTGTCACCCAGGCTGGAGTATAGTGGTGTGATCATGGATCATTGAATCGTCTACCTCCTGGGTTCAAGCTATTCTCTCACCTCAGCCTCCCAAGCAGTTGGGACTACAGGCATGTGCCGCCACGCCTGGCTAGCTTTTTTATTTTTATTTTTTGTAGAGACAGGGTCTCCCTATGTTGCCCAGGCTTGTCTCAAACTCCTGGGCTCAAGTGATCCTCCCACCTTGGCTTCCCAGGCGTGAGCCACCATACTGAGCTTCACAATTTTTTTTTTTAAAAAGGGGCTCTTATTATAACACACCCTTTATGAAAACAGGACTTACTCTGTCTCATCCACCATAGCTATATATCTACCCCCAAGGCGTTGGACATACTAGTGCTCAAAAATATGGAAATATCTTTAAAGAAGTTGACGGCGTGTAAGAAATGTAGGCTCTGTGGCAGGCTAGTATAAGAGGTCAGGTTTGAGTGACTGAAAAGCTGCATGCCATAACTAATTACATGAATTCACAGAGTATTTACCAAGTGTCCACTACCTGTCAGGTGTTCCAGGTACCAGAATCATGCTGACCTGCGAGTTGGTATACTGGGTAGACAAGCACTACCAATAGCATAGTAAATGCCAAGGCCAGGAAACACAGGGTGTAATGAAAGCACAAAGAAGTACCCAAACTAGGCTGGGGGGCCCGACACATAAATTTTGACTTAAGAGTATGGCAGGAGTGAGACTGCCCCAGGAAGTGGGTGTAGCATAAACAAGGCCTCAAAGCGCAGCGCACTGGCAGATGGGGTATGTGTTTTCCAGAATGGTCATTTCCCCTGCATGGAATTTTCCTTCTCCTTGGCTTTACCTTTTTTCAAATAGGGCTTCTATGTTACCCTAGGCTACACCTACCTAAGGACTGAAAATGTTATCTAGTCATCCCAATTTTCTCCTGTAACATAATCAAAATGTCTTACCTTACTAAGATCATGACTAAACATCTATATCCTGAAATTCAAGCAGTAAACTGGTAACCTTCCTGTTAATGCCTCAAAGATGGAGGCTGATACCACCTAAAACTCTCATGTAAACCCAGAATTCTCACAATTCTTTCATATTATTCCCCACCCTTGCCCAGTCTACCAGTCACAGCAAATGATGTAATTCTTTAAAAGCAAAAAAGTTTAGCAACAAGCCAAGTCCCCACCCTATCCTTTTCTTTTTTTAAACCAACCACAGTCTAACTGGAGTCATGCTTTTTGTCTCTATCTTTACCCCTACCACCCCAATTACAGACATGGATATATACTCCTTTTAATTCCCATGATCACAGTTCTTGCCTAGGCGTCTAATATTCTCAGTTTCCTCATTTTCCATGCTGGCTTAATTGAAAGAAAAAAAAAGTCATCCTCGAGGACCATTTGTTTGCATGGAACACAAACCAGTCAAACTAGTTTAAATAAAAGAGGGAATTTATTAGAATACAGAGGTTCTTGCAGAGATTCCAACAGCTGCAAGGGGTCAACAGCTAGAATCATGCCTTTCTGAAGGACAGAGTATGCTTTGATCACAAACTTCTAATTCTGAGTTCTGCACCATCAGGAAGAGAATATCCTAGAGGACAGTTCTCCTTGTATACTGCATAAGGGACTAGAATGTGGATTCATTTCTGCTTGCTTTTTGATCCTTATAGTTCTTTATGCTGGCCTCAAACTTGTCAAGCACATGTTGGCAGACATCCATGAGCTCATTCAGGCCTCTCTGAAATGGCTCAACAGCAGGAAGGGCACCTCGAGTCTGAATGCGTAAATTAATTTTGCTCTCTGAAGGATGGGTCGCAGTGTAACCACAAAATTCCACTTCCGGGTTCTTCATGATCATGTAACGCAGAGAATTTCCTAGGGTATGGTCCTCCTCGTGCAATACAAATGTCACACAGTGTCTATCTGTTCCAGCTGCCTGGACCATTTCCAGGGCTGTCTTCCTCTCGCCTTCAGCCATTGAGGTCTTCAATCCAGATATTTTTCTACACACATATTTTTTATAAAAATGAGATCATACTGAATATGGTTTTGTAACTAGCTTTTTTCATTTACTGTATCACATTGCAACACGTTATTACTCTACTCCAGCTACACAGAACTATTTGCCTCTCATTTTCCTGCCTCCACAAGCTCTATCAATAAATATTTAATTTATTGCCTCCGGTTTTTCCATGCTCCATTTGACCATCCACACCGGCCACAAGGGGAGCTTTCTTAGAAAAACACAAACTTAAGTGTTTGCAAAAATATTCTTTGGTAGAGTCACAAGCAAGGGATAAGATTGGAATAGGATGGGCCCTGCTAGAGGATGAAAATGGGGTTGAAAGGCATAGAAATCCCGATTGCTCCAGCATAAAAATAGAGGATACAGATGATCAATGTGCAGGCCCAAAATGGAATGCAGCTTCCATTTTGCAAGAGAAGGAAACTAGGAGAATGGCAGGTCCAGGAGTCAAGCAGGAGGGAGGATAAGAGCTCAGTGCTCAGAGGAGTGGCTTTAGGAGCAGTCTGCACAAAGAAGGAAAGTGAGCCGTAGTTACAGGGCCAGAGGCATCAGTACCGTCCTCAAGGAGCAGAGGCCCGGGGCGTGATTTTACATGCTGCCCTTCTAATGGGGGTGGGCAGTTTGGGGACTTAACTCTGGTCTCCCAACTTGTCTTCCCTCCTTGATAGCTAGCGTACCTTTAAGCCTCTCAACTGAAACACATTCAAGTCTCCTCCCCCTTCTCTCTCCATGCCTCTTCGCTGGGCCCAGAGTCAGGCCCGGGCTGCCAGGCCGGGCCGCGTGCCCCTCGGCCACCCGCTCCCCTTGGGCGCGGCCCGCTTCGCCCGCCTCCTCCTTGGCCGTTACCTCTCCAGTTCCTGGTCCTCTTCCATCGTGGAGGCGGTTTCCGGATCCTCAGGTGGTGGTAGCGTATCGGGGGCTCTGCCCCATAGCGCGAGGCGTGGAGCCGAAGCAGGAAGGAAGGACCGACGGACGGAAGGCGCGGAGGACGGAAGGAGAGAGGAGGAGCCGCAGCGGCGCGACAGGGCCCAACGGCGGGGCGGGGCATGAGGCTCCGCCCCCAAGCCCCGCCCCGGCGCGGGGTGGGCGGTGGCTCACCGCCCCTTGGCTCACCTGGGCGCCCCAGCGAGGCCACCCGCCGCAGGAGGGGCAGAGGGCTGGGCCAGCACCGCTTTACCCCGAGGCCCAGACCTGCCTGCGGGCGCCCCAGCTCAGCATTGCTACCTTTCACCAGGTGATGGCGAAGGAGCGGGGCCTTACCTGACGCCCCCAAATCACTTCCCTTCACAGTGGCAAATCCGAAATAGGCCCAACTGCCCCACTGGGGCGGTGTCGACCCAGGGTGGCCCTTCCCAGGACCTCGGCCCTCCCGGGCCTTCCGTGGGACCACAGGCTTAGGCTCTAGTGGGTCAACACACCTTGGAGAGAGAGGGGGTGATGTGCGAGATGAGTCACAACAGAACACTACGGTTGAAGGCGGTATTTGACCGGGGAGCTTGCAGCTGCATTCTCAACTAGGTCAAAAAAGGGCAGGAAAGAAACGTCTTTCTCCTTTGAGGGAGTGAGAGTTTGGAAGAAAACTGTTTCCCATCTCATCCTTTCTTCGGTCCTAGAATTCCTTATACCCCCGGAGCGCGTCCTCTCCCGCAGTGGACGTCCTTTTTCCCTTACCCCAGTGGCTCCTCAACCCTCCTCACCTGCGGAACCCGCCCTCACCTTTGTTCCCAGGTGCCCAGCCCCCGCCTCGGCAACCTTTCACCACCCGGGCTCGCTCTCCGCCCTGCTCCCTGCGTCCCGGCCCTCGCCGCGCTCCCTCAGGTGCGCTTCCTCGCGAATCGACGCTTCTTCTCCCCTGGCCGCCGGCCCCGACCCTGCCCTACTCCAGCTGTCCTGTGGTCCTGCGCACCTATGTTTCTGCTTTCCTGCGCCACCTGTTCTTCTCCCCCACCCCTCCCCGCGATTTTCCTGGATGTTCACTCCCACCCCGGCTGTGCCATTCCTGGAGGCTGACGAGGGTGCGCGCAGGCACCTCACCAGCGGGGCTTCCGCAGGGGAATCAGGCGGCCGGCGGGGACAGCCCGGGGCGGGTGGGGGAGGCGGGCAGCGAGGGCGGAGTGGTCTCACTCTAACCCCGGAGTGACGGTCCCTCTTCTGGCCCGCCTACCGAGCTCTCGGATAGGCGGAGCCGCCCTCTGGCACACCCCCTCCCGCCCTGTGCTGCCTCCGATTGGCCAGGGTGCGGGTTGGGCCGCTTGGCCTTGGCGCTGGCCCCCGGGAAGGCAGCAGGGGCGGTTGAGAAGTGAAGTCTTGGCGAGAGTTTGTTTCTTGCCAGGAAATCCTCGGCTGCTGCGGCGGCGGAGCGGAGCCGGGCTGGTTCTCCGCTCCCTCAGCGGGCTGCGGAGAGCTGGAGCTGGTGCCGGGCAGCGGCGGCGGGAGCCCGTGCGCGGCCCGGGCGGCCGCGCTTTCCCAGTGAGTAACTTTGCCCTGCCCGCCTCGCTGCGCGCCCTCTCGCCGGCTCCGGGCAGCCGCCTCAGGTGCGGGCGTCGGCGGGGTGTGGGGCAGCGCCGCGCCCCGGGAGGCGGCCGGAGCGGCGCCGCGGCTCTCCCCGGAGCTCTAGTCCTCCGCGACTGTCCTCGCTCGCTCGGGCTGCAGGGCCAACGTGGACTCGGCTGTGGGACTGCTCCGGGAGGGAGAGTCGGAGCCCGGTGCCCGCCGCCTGCAGGCGCCCAGGAGGCGGGCGGCCTCCGGCTGTTAGCATTTGCGGGTTCCGGCCACCGTGGTGCGGATCTTGGCGTCGTTTGCTTCTTAAGGGAAGGGAGAGGTGGGGTGAGTGTTTAAATTTCCTCTGTGTGGTTGTGTGTGTTGTTGGCAATCAGAGTGGCACTAGCTGCCTTTATCGGGTTTTGTTCCTCTGGAAAGGGATGGGGAGAGATCATTCCCTCCGCCCCAGCCTGTTGCCTGTGAATTCTCACCCTTCTCTAGGCTGAAGAGGGTGGGAGAGAGATTTGACATCTTCCAGGGAGTAATTTAAAAATGCGAATCTTGCTTTGGAAGCAGCTGCACACAAAGCATCATTCAGGAGGTACATCACTCGCTTTTCAAAGCTTTATGCCACGTTTTAAACGAGGACTTTTGATTCATGTAGTGTTTCTTCTAGCATTTCAGTTTAAGTTTATGGATCCAGACGTTCGTTTGTGCCAGGAACTAAAGTACACTCATGCATGGGCCTTGCTGTATATATTATGCTTTTTAAAAGCACAGAAATCTGAAACAAAGTTGAGTGAAAAGCGGTGGCGGTGCAGAAGGATGAACACTTGTGAGCTCCAGCTTATTGGAACTGCCTTTAAGAATTTCACTATTCTTATGGCAATAGCACTTACTTGTAAATTGGCCTCCTTCCCAGGACAGATTTTGATATTTCTTTTTTATGTACTTCGATGCAGCACTGATAAAGTTGGATCCCAGTAGACCAATTTTATTTACTTTGCTAGATTTTATTCCCACCCCCACACCACTTTAGAAAATTGATTTTGGCAGGTAAAGAAGGAAGCAAGAATCTGATATCTTTTTTGGCTTGTCAAAGCTTTCTTGAGCCATGAATAACAAAGTTTTGTCTTTTTAGCTTGTCCAAGTCCCACATGTGAGTTTTCCCATGGGGTAAAAGTAGGCCAAATGAAAACCAAAGTAGAATAACATTACTTTTGATTCGGTCCCCTTGTGTGTTACATTCTCCATATATCTTGTTCCTCTAGTCTTCTCATTTTCTTTGAAATTTTTTCATTATTTATTCATTTAGGCACTGTTTAAGTGCCTACTGCATGCCAGGCATTGATGGCAGGGGTTGGTTCTTGCCCAGAAGTTTTCTGGTTTGGAAGCTGATCCTTTATTCCACTAGTTGCCCTGAAGTAATTTGAACTTAAAAGAGGGAGCATTTCTGCCTGGAGACCTATAAGAATAGGTGTCACATAGGCACTTAGTCTCCAGATTAGTTTGGGATTTTGTACATTGTAGGCAGGTGGTGCGCAGACCACTTAAAAATAAATGCATGTGTCTTTAGGCTGTTACATTCTGAGCTTTGCACATGGGCTTGTCTGGCTGAAGGACCCAGTGTCCAAGGTGGAAGTAGTAGTCAGAGACATGTATACTATTCATTTCAGATCACTTGGCACCTTTTCTTGCTTACATTGGGCACTAAAATATTTACTGAATTGACTTGAACAGAAAAATGAAGGATTTTATATACCAGATTAAGAAATTTGGACTTTATCCAGTCAGTGATTCTGAGCTGCTAATTTTAAGCAGGAGAATGTCATGATAACAGTCACATTCCAGAAAGCTATCTGCAGCGTCTGGAGGATGGTGGGCTTCCAGATGGGCGGTAACCAGACTAAGTTGGAGGCTGTTACGATGCAGGGGTTGAATGCTCAGGGATTCTCTATTCAGATTAACTGGGGTAGAATCAGGCTCCGTCATACACTAAAAGCTCTTTGTTCATTAGTTTTTTCATCTCAGAATTTGGAGGCTAGAACTTGACAAAACATGTATATTAGAATAGTGATTGCCACATTGTAAGGACTTAGTAAATGCTAGAGCGCTGGCAGTGGAAGGAGAAACGTGGCGTTTAGGAGGTATGACTAGGAGGCTGGACTAGGTAAGTGACTAGACAGACTTAAAGAGGAAAGGATGAATCCTGAGTTGTTTGACTTCAGGCATTGGCATGTACTAGTTAGCTGGCTGTGGAATTAAAACGGGGGTCAAATTCTAATTCTGTTACTTACCCTTAGAATTACTATCGTGACAGAACTTTGATTTCCTAACATTTGGGAAATGATCATCGTACCTGTTTAGTTGAGTTTGAGGAAATTACGCATGTAATGCACTTGGCAGGGTACCTAGCGTATTCCAAGTGCTTAGTAAATATTAGTTGTTCCTTTAGATGATGACATTAATGAGCTAGTGGAATGTTGGAGGTGACGAGAAGGAGCAGGTAAAAACAATTAATGGTAGAGGTGCGGAAGGGAAGATAAGTTGAGTTTTGGACCAATCTAAGGAGATGCTAAATGGATGGTTGAGAGATCCATGATGCAGTTGTTGGATAGTTGTGTCTCACAGGAGCTAGGAAAGAATAGAAAAGAAAAAAAAAAAAAGAGTTCACAGAAAGCCTTCATGGATATGGTAAGCTTTATGTGAGATTTAGAGGAAGCGGAGGGTGAAGGAGTTCACAGTGGAGCAATGCCAGAAGTGTTGACATTGAGTATTAGGCATTTCTATCCTTAAAATACATTTTGGCCACCATCAAAGAAAGGAGGACTCCAGGCCCTTATAACCTGGTTGGCTCTGACCTTCTCTCCCTCTTCTTTCTCTTTTTTCTGATTGCCACCCGAAAATTCAAATATTTTTAAATTTTATTATGAAGAACTATTTAACTTTCACCCCATTACAGGGCCATAGTTCATAGGCCCATCTTCCTCTATCCAAATGCATCAAGGTTTTTCAAAGATAATCACAGGTCCCATTTCATAGGTTCTCCTCTATTTAGGAAGCAGTGTTGGTTGAAAAAATATGTATATATCTTGCATGTAGGATTGGAAGACTGGGGCAGGCCTGCCAAAATTGACGCTGTTGGAAGGCCTGAGAGTTTTACAAAACACATCCCCTTTAGCTTTCCTAACATGTGTTTCTTTTCCTTGGAAAGTACAAAACGGTAGGAAAATCTGTGGTTAATAAGTTATTTTGTTTGGTTGGATTCAGAGAAGGTGGCTGTTTTGTGTATTAGCCTACTGAGAAGTTATTAAGAGGAATTTTTTAACAAGCAGGTGCTCATGACACTACAAAAATAAATTGTCCTCTAGTTAGTATGCTTCTAAAGAACCAGGCGTTGTAGGTTCTATCCTTTAGAATGCATGCTTCCTAGAGCTGGGATCCTATCTATTTTGCTAACTGCAGAATGTGTAAGTACTTAAACAGTATATATTAATATATTGTAAACCAAAAATAAAACTCTAAACTCTCTCCCCTTCCCAGCCATCTGAATGGACTTCCTCCTCAGCCTCTGAA